TTTATAGCTAAAAATAGGGTGGACCCCACTTCCGAATAATTACCGGATTTTTTTATGATGTATAACACGATTTTTTTTAGAAATTAAAGGACTGATGGCTCAGAACTTAGACGATCTGGATCAAAATATATCCAAAAAATGAATGAGGACGACAACAAAGAGAAGCCATACATTTATACAAAAAAGAGTACAGTTTTTCTTCTTTCAATACGAATTTACATTCATTACAAAATTACATATAAATGAAATAGAAATTTACAAATTTTGATACAAATTTAGTACAAATACGGAATGATTTTTAACTCCCCAGTGAAAAGTTATAGTAATGGGTCCGATTTTGCGAATCCCGAATTTTGACATATCTCCACGTTTCAAAGTCCCCAGAGTCGAATACGATCGTTTTCCAGTGGACGTCTGTGTGTGTGTATGTACGTATGTGCGTATGTGCACGTGTGCGTTCGGAATTATTTTTCGCCTTGATTATCTCGAGAACAAAAAATGATATCGATGTGGGATCAATTGCATTCGACGCGTAATTATGTAACTTAGAATTAATTAGATTTTCAGCAAAATCGGTCGAGCCATTTTTTTTTGCAGAACCAAAAAACTAGCAAAAATGGAAAATGACCTGAATTTCTCAATTGATAAATTATACCATTTTTTAGACAAAATTTCGAAATCTTTAAAAAAATATGAATATTAAATGATTAGAATACTTGTATGAAAATATGATGACAACATTTCATCAAAAAAAAATATTTTAAAAAACAAAATCAGCAATGAAAGAATTTTAAACTCGTGTCAGGATTGAGAAAACAGCATTAAAGACGCTATAATAGTCAATAATAATTGTCAATAATATGGAATTGTGTTCATAACAATTGAACATTGCTACTAACAAGTGATTATTAATCATAGTAATATTTAAATAATAAGTTTTGAATTGTTATAAAGAATAAAAATAGGGACCCTTTCTATATATATGAGTACTTTTAACGCATAATTTTTTCTTTTACATAAATAAAAACATACTTTTTTCGTGTATAACAATGAAATTTGTTGTAAATAATGAATAAAAGGATCTATGAGGTATATTCGAATTCTTCTAACGCACAATTCTTTCTTTTACTGAAATGAAGTACCTAACCATACTAAATGAATAAAAACACACTCATTTTGTTTATAACAATTCCATTTGTTATAAAAAATGGAAACGGGTTCTATTCGAATTGTTTTTGCAATTTTTTCTCTGGGAAGTTGGTCGTGTGGACCTTTCGGGTCGCACCCAGACCACTGCAGAGCACTGATATTTTTTTAATTTATATTTTTATTTATAATAATGTAATTCTTAAATTTAGGAAGAGGCACACAGGCGGAAATTAAAAGAAAAATTCATCGAGAAAAAAAAAATTTCAATAAAAATAAAAAAGGAAATCTAAAATACAGAAATTAGAAAAATAAGAACTATGGGCGAAGAGGCAGCCGGCGAGAAGACTTAAAAGAACAGAAAAACGAGAAGAAGAATAAAGATGAAAAAGAACAAGGAGGAAGCAAAAAAATTCATGTGACGTTAAATCATAAAAATAAAAATTGAAAAAAAGAAACATTCGAATAAATATATAATAAAGTCAATAACACTAATAATAACTCAATGTAATTAATAATTTGTAACAGATTATAGGAATAAATTGATAACATAATATAATAACAATTATAATAATTTAAAAAAAACAAAAATTGAATAACAATAAATTGATAACATAAAATGATAGCAATTATAACAATATTAGTAAACTGAAAAATAATAAAAAGATACTTCAATAAATTTTTGAATGCAACGTTTATAAAATTTCACACATCTTTTATTTTGATAAGACTTCATAAAATTTTATTATCAGAAATTTTGAAATTAAAAAATTTACTTAATATGTTAATAAAAAATCAGATCTTGTTTTAATTAATTACTAACGATTGAAATCGAAATTGTATGAAGATAAAATTTCCGACAGGGAAATAGACTCTGTGTACTAAGATTTTAATCCCTACTTATTTTTTTATAATTCACTAATAATAATATGTACACAATGAAAGTAACTATGTGTACATTAAACTAAATGTTGAATTTTTCTGTATTAACAAAATTCAGTAAATTACGAAATGTACATCATTGCGATCAATTTTTTTTTTTTTTTAATAACAAATATAGTAACATTATAATCATGCTATCATGAAAATAAACCACGTACTAAAAATTAAATTGAAAAAACTGTAAATAATTGATAGAAAAAATTACTTGAAATAATAAAAATCTCTAATAACGTTATACTTATTTTACAAACTAAGACAATGTACCAACAGCTAAATCACTTATGCTGTAATCAGACAATGTCAAACTTCTTCTATCTTGACTTTCACTTCGAACTTTAGCAATAGTTTACTTATAACAAATTCGATTATTATAAACAAAAGAAGTAGGTTTTCAAACATTTTATATGGTTTGTAACTCAATTTTAGTAAATGAAAAAATTAGGCGTTGGAAAAACTCAAATATCTTGCATAGATCCCTTTTCCTGTTGTTTATAACAAATTCAATTGTTGTAAACAATATCTTATTATGAAATCCCACATTTAGTGTTCAACAATAATATTTTGTTAATATAGATCTAACTTGCAGAAAATCGTGATTATTTAAAAAGTTAAAATTATTTTGAATGATATTTCTTCTTTTTCTTTACAGACTTTTTGTTATAAAAAAAACAGCTGAGCTGAATTTGTTTTAACTCCTTTCAGATCTTCTTCATTCTATTATCATTCAAATAAAATTTGTCCAGAGTCGATATTTTGAGTAGATCTTGAGAAATCGAAAACGAGAAAAAACCTGACATACGCACGCACGCACATACGTACATATTGTAAAATAATAGGAGGATATTTCTCCGAATTGATAACCGACTACGCATCCTATTTATAAAATCAGACTCTGAAAATCACAAAAATTATAATCACAAATGACCTACCTTGCAAGGAATTTTCAAAAACATAAGTTCAATAGTTTAAACCAACTATTAGAACTTTATAGGACACCGTGGACATCTAGTAACTCACTTCGCTTCACTTTGGCCAGTAAATAAAGAAAAAGATTCCGGTACAATGACTCCAACCGTGTATATCCTACAGTAACTCCACGGGAACGCTCCAGGACAGACATTGTGAATTTAAATCAACAATCAAATGATCAATGAGAGCCAACATTCTCAGACTGGAAGTTACAAAAACCCTGAATTCAACAGAAATTAGGAATCCAGAAAGAGTCAACAATGATTAATTATCATCATACGGAGCGAGTCTAATCATTCAATCACTTAAAAACGACCATTCAAGATTTTCTGAAATTCAAAACACAACATCTTTAAGTAGATTTCAGATGCATGGAGACCTTCCAAAAATAACTAAAACTTCAGGCGATTTCCTTCACTTTAAAGAAAAATTGAATTAAATCTCTGAATTTAATCTAAAAGAATTTCAAACCAAATTTAATTATTTTCTGTTAAACTTGATTTAACAGCCTGAAAAAGCTTATAATTCTTCTTAGAATGACTTTCTATTCCACAAATCCAACATCTAAATCCATGAAAAGAATTTTGACTATTAAAAGACTTTAAATTCCCTTCAGTAGAATCGGAATGATTATTATTATCATTATAAATTTTATCTTTTTTGAAATTATTGTTAAAATTGTTTTTATTCTGACCTCCGAAGGTCAATTCTTCAATCGACTCAAGTTCTAAAGCTCTCTGAGTTGCTAATTGAAGAGACTCAATCCTCTTTGAACGAAGAGAAAATTGCAACTTCATTTTTTTTAATCCAGAAGTGAATTGTAAACCAGCAATTCTATCTCTCACTTCGGAAGAAACCGAAGAATACGCAAATTTGACAAGCCTATCTAAATCATTTGAATAGTCTGTCAAATTTTCATTTTCAGACTGTTCCCTAGCCTGAAAACGACTAAAATAAGCCCTAAAAAATTGAGCTTTCAGCTAAAGAAAAAGTATCAGTATCAGATTCTCGTCAATAGTTTTACAAATAATTTTTGTTAGTAGTTTGACAAAAGGGTGTGGCTGCTTAAAAATCGATATATGTGAGAAACTCTGATTCTAACTTATTACTTATAGTAATTTTCAAATTATGTATTATAAACTCTTATTATTCTAGCATTACGTTTAAATACAACTCTTTCAAAGTTGTGTACCTAATCAATATGATACATGTCAAAAGTCTGAAGCTGATCAAATATACTCCGATTCAAAAATATACTCAAAAGCAAAATAGTCGTACTATTGATATTCATTACTTAATAAAAATTAATAATAGAAAGATTTTTTTCTATTCAATGAATAATGAAATTTTATCTTTCATAAATGTTAAATGGAATGTTTCGCCTTGTAAACACGTTTATATTCACAGACTTTCATCGATTAAAGAAATGTTTCTAACAGGTAATAAGCACACAAGTGCTGAAAACTCATCAGTTTTATTACCCTGAATTTAACGATTTTTTACCTTCAAATTCTATATAAAAATAAAAACCACTTTCTTTTTAAGCTTTTTTAAGGAAATAAAAAGATATTTTAAGTATAAATATCATAAAAAATTAGACAATAATATGCATGATATATTAATTTAGTCTATTTTAAATTTTTCGAATATCAACAGCAAACTTATTAAGAACGTTATTCTAATTCAATGTTGTAGTACTTTAATTTGATAATTCTATCCTTTTATTATGTGACGAGTGAGTTACATGAATTACATGAATTTTTTAAGTAAAAATGTCGAACACAAATTTGTAAATAATATTCATCTATTGAAAAATTATACTTAAAAATGTAAATATTGATTATGTCGATACAATATTTTTTTATTTTTACACATGCAATACATGCATAGAACGCACACTTTAAATAAAGATTGAGGATTTTTTATTTTAGTAATTAGCTCACCCATCAACCTCTTCCTCTTCCAGTAGTAAACTCATATTTTCGTCAGTGTAAACGTTCCAAAAAAGGTGTTGAAATGAATCAAATACCAAATATGGAATAAACCGTAAGCTTGATTTTCCTTATTGTAGAAAATTTATTATTCCTTCAAGTTTAAACTGTCGTTCATATTGAAATAGAAAACAATCAATGGAATCGATTAGTATTGTAAATAATTTCGGAGTTAAAGGAACTAATATTAAAGGTGGAAACCAGAGAGCACAAGAGTAGAATAGCTTTTTACAAGGAAGAACAGTAGAAATATCAGAGACTGAAATTTACGCCTGCGCTAATCGTCTCCCACTACGTTTTTATTAAAATAAAGATTTAAAAGGTAAAATAACATACAAGAGTATTCACTATATCGAAATCTTTCTGCTCGATCATGGACTGTACTAAATAAGCAATAGTAAGTTCTATTATTCCATGAATTTTTTACCATGCAAATTTGGAAGTCGGAACATTCTGTCATTATCGAAACTATTTTCTTTTCATGTACTCTGTTCTATCTTAAAAATTACTCAGGGCAAGAAATTAAAAAAAAAAAAACATTAGTAGAAATAAAAAAAAGACGGAATAAAATGATGTTGTTCTCCGATAATTTATTGACAATTTTGCAAAACACCTCCATAAATATTCAACCAAAATTATTCTTTTTGATATATAAAGCATTCGGATAAAACAGATATTTGTAAAAATCAGCGATAAGATCACATTCAAATTGTATCTAAGTTTGTAATACTTAAATGTAATTTTACCAAAAACTTTACGAAATTATTTCTCGTTCTATTATGACAGATTTGTAATGTTGTTAATGAAGAATCGTTATTTCTCCTATTCGATTATCAAGAACTAAATTGGATTTATAATTTCTAAAGAAACCCATTCAACTGGTTATTCAATAAACACGATTTACTCTTATTTGTTAATGTAAGTTTAATTGATTATAATCAATAATAATTAGTTATTTTTCAAAGATAGAGTAGTTGATAGCCTTATATTAGCACATTTGGAAGGAAAAGCGTGCTAGTGAATTCGAGTAAGAATGAGTGCTTACTTTAAAAAGTTCCTACCACAGCTCTAGAGAATCTATGAGTCTCACAAAATATATTGAACGATGAAATGTCACGTCATAAAATTTTTACAAAACATAAGAAATTTGAAACGAATTTAGATATTTATATCTTTACTCACAGTCATTCATAAATTAGCATACTACTTTATATAAAATCATGATAAAAACGAATGCATACATTGTTGACATGATATGAAAAATCTACAAAAGAAAATATCACTTTTTGAATTATACCATTGTTGCCAACTCAATTTCAGTTGACGTTGAGCTTACGCATTCTACCGCACAAATCGAGGGTGCAGAGTCAACTAGAAATTTCTTGTGCCACATCCCTGCCAAATCAATTATTTAATTTCTTGTGCTATATAAGTTTATCTTGAATTGTTTATGGTAGCGTATTTAGTTTTTTGATAAAAGAAAACTTTCAAATTTATCAAGTACAAATTTTTGTAGGCTGTTTTCCTTTCTGATGACTATTACGTATAATGATTAAAATAGTAGAACTATCGAATTGTTTATAGTAATTCTGTAGTTACAAATAATTTAAAATAATTTTTACTAACGAAATAGAAGAAATTCAACTTTAAATGTAATAAATATTGTAAGAATGACTGTGAACAGTTGTGTATGTATTTTAACATCTAATTATAATTTATAATAATTAAATTTAATATGAAAAACTGAGAAGCAGTTTCTATAAACTATAAGAAAAAAATAGGCTTTTCAATACAATAAATATATTCAGAAATAGACAATAAACTTGTGTTCTTGGAACGTAATTCTTACTAAGATAAAAAAAATGTATTAAAGTTGCATTGTAACTAATCAGGGACGGAATAAAATAGACTTTTGAAATCCACGAAATGTGCATTTCAATACAAAAATATACAGTCGTACAATAATTTTGTGTGGAACGTTAAACATCTGTAACCGTTGACGGTTATTAGATTATAAATCGAATTTTTACATTGTTATTTTTTAAAGGAAAAAGAACGGAGCAATCCTTCGTATTGTTGTGAAAATATTTTTCGAAAAAACGTTCGAATATACATGAAAACTTTGATATTAGATTTGGATAAATCTAGAATCTCTTCGAAATATCCTGAAACGTTGTCACATTATGAACTAGCTGATTCTCGCGATTTTGTCTGCATAATGTGCATAATTTCGTTATATAATAATAGATTGATAGGAAATAGTTGGGAATAGTGAGTTTATAGTTTAAATGAGCCAATTCCGAATACGTATTGCAAAATCAGACTCAATAACAACTTCGGAAAATTAGTAAATAAAGAAAAATGTTTATTAATGATTGACAGCAATCAATTAAAAGTAAGAATCCGTGCGGTCAACTCAAGTCACAGTCAAAAACTGGAGATAAACAAACTTTCCCCTCGTTGCTATAAACAATCTAATCGTCAAGCAATCGTCATTACCTAACAAACTGTCGTTAGTCTAATAGTCATCAGATGGCGACAAACAAATATTTTACAGTATTGCTTTGCAATAGTATTAAAAAAAAGTGATAAATTTGTTAGTATTAAGAATAGACAAAAAAAACCAACGAAACGTGCCACCCGTTAGATGGTCCATGCTAGGAGACGTTTTAGCCCTATGAGTTATCATCATTCGATCAGGTCCAGTAACTTGGCACTCCAATAGAAGAGATGGAGGTGTGGAATAGGCATTTTAGAGATTTTGTAAAAAAATTAGCCATAAGTTTGAAGAATTAGATATAAGTTTGCAGGCCTTGTGGAGAAAGCCTGATCAACTTTGCCTCCAAGAAAGCACCTAGGATAAGACGCTCTTCTACAAGAAAAATCGAGGAGAGATCACGTGATAAAATTACTGAAGGGGACACAATTCTGCAAATCAAGAAATAGTTATGACATTGAAAGAGGAAAAAGAATGAGAAATTGAGTAATTGAAGAGGGGAGGAGTAGGATTTTGGAGATGGAAGAGTAGAAAAGTAGTAGTCTTATTTTTGAGATTGAATTAGTTAGTCAAATTTTGAAAGGCGTGAGAAGCAGTCTAGTTTTGAAAAACGTCAGAATCATGAAGAAAATTGTTAGAGGTTGAAGACATTGAGCAGGTCAAGGAGAAGGATGGAACAAGGTAGAGACATGGCAGACTGCAGGGAGTTCCCTGATGCAGAGAGGAGGTTCCAGTTCACCCAGGAACCAATCGAGACCAGATTACTACACTTAGGTATCCTCTGCAGCTTCTGTAAGTCGTATTGAGTCTAAATTTTGTGGGATTTTCAATACCGTGGTCAAATTTAGTTAAAAAGAATGTAAGATAATTGATCTTCCAACCAAGGTTTGCTCTCGTGAATTAGTTAGTTAGTAAGTTCCGTTAAAAGATCATAGTTAATTTCAGAAATATTCATGATTTTGCTTCGGGTTTGAGAGTCAATTGTAGAGTAAAAGCTATTGTATTTGAGTTGTTAGTTTGAGATTTAACTATGTTAGAAATTTTATACAAGATAATTATTGATAAGTACAAATTAACAGTTGGAAGAAATTGTAGAACGTTCCAGAATTGAAGTTACCGTCATTTGATTGTGAAATATTTTATTTGGTTAATGCAGAATTGCTACAGAAAGATTGATTTTGGTTTAATGAATTAATATTTACTGAATAATTATGGTTTAAATACTTCATGTAATAAGGAATCTTCAACTCCATCATTTTATTTGTTGTTTGGATAATTTTTATGGGGTACAACTGATAAATTTCTTTGCCGGCCCTGACCCTCTCTCCACAACCCACATAACTCAGTTCCAGGAGATCTCCTGTCAGGGCATTTTTACCACCAACATCTTATTCATTAAGTTAGTTTTAAGATTTTAGATTAGTTTTAAGGAATTTTGAGCTCTTTGAAATTTCGTTCTGGATTCTGAGTGGAAATTAATTGTAAGTTTTGGTTTAGGTTTAAGATTTTCGAACTTAAGATGTAAGTTTTGCCAGTTTAGTTGTTCTGGCGATTAAAAATAACTTGGTGCCTGTCGTTTATAATTGTTATAAGCGAACTAGGGATGTTAGATGGTAAAATATTGTCCTAGATGGAGGTGAATATTTAGTACACCTATTACAGTGGAAAAATGTCGTCACAATACATTTTATATCATGGGTATATAGTGTATACGGTAAAAGTATTTAAAAAATATACTCATACATATGAAATATATACCTTAATTATAGAACTTTTGGCCGTTTTTTTCTATATTTGTTTTATACTCCAAATGTATTCCAGGTATATTCAGAATATATTTTGTAACGATAAACAGAGAGTGGTTCTCAATCTACGTCCACTGTTGTGCCTCAGCGCAGTGTTTATCGTTAAAAAGAAATTAATATTAATTTTAGGCGCCGAGTCAGAGGTCAATTGGGTTCAACCTTTCGAAAATAAGAAGAATTTTATGATAGAGTGACCTTGAACAATTTATTGAATTGAACCGGCTAGCTTTAAGATTACAATAATTAATCAGCAATAGGTCAATGAGAGCTTGAGTCTCGCGTGGGGTGTGTCACCACCGATAATCACTCGACTCCGCAAATTGAAGAAGAATTATTTTAACTCTAGATAAGAATACTCTTACTCTGTTTTTTGAGGATATTGAGAAATATTATTAACTACAATTACTAAATAATACTACAGAAGTTATCCATATCTATACCAAGGAGATTGTAATATTGACAAAGATACTGGTTCATGCTGTTAAACATTTTTATTGTAGAACTTGTTCATTTTACATTGGTAATAATCAAAAAATATCTAGCTGTCCGTCTTGCAATACAACTGTACAAGAAGATGCATTTTTTTTTTAAATTGATGTTTGTAGTCAGATAAAATATTTATTTGAAAATTGCAAACTTGGAGAAAAATTAAAAACACCCTCGACATAATGATGTCATTACAGATATAACTGATAGCTCGGAGTACATCCGAGTTAATTCGCGATTACATAGAAATAAATATGATTTGACGTTAATAATAAATACAGATGGAATTTCGTTAACTAAAAGTGCAAAAAATCATTGTTGGCCAATAATGTGTTTGTGGGTTTGTGGTATGATAAAGACTGCAAACCACCTATGAATATCTTTTTTTAACCACTAAGTCTAAAATTACAGAAATTTTTCGAATATGGTATTGATTGGGTTGCTCAAATAACGAATAAATCTTTC